CCCCCCGAAAGTAACAAGCCCCAAAGGCTGCTAATTCCGAAAGTAACGAGGGTCGTTACTTTCGTAAGTTTTCGTAAATTCACCCACGGTAGTGGGTGAACACTGGTGAAATAGAGGCTCGGAATGGTTGCCTCTCTCTCTCAGGCCTAGTTTTCCTCTTGCTTGCGCGTACCATGGGATTAAGATGGCGGAGTGCGAAGTCCGAGAAGAAGGCAGAATTTATGGCGGCTGTTTTATCCATGTGCATTCTCCCTGGCCCTAAATTGGCTCGTGAAGGTGAACTTACCATCAACCTTCTGTATTTCATTGTTTCCAGGTTCGTCAGCGTATTGGTTATTGTCCACAGTTCGATGCTTTGATCGACCAGATGACCGGAAGAGAGCTGCTTTACATGTACGCGCGGCTACGAGGCGTACCGGAAGGGCTAATACCGGACGTTGTTGAGGATCTGATTAATGCCTTGCTGCTCCAAGATCACGCTAATAAGTTAACCAGTTCATACAGGTACGTCATCATTATGATCGTATCAGAGTTAGTGAAAATCTAGTACGAATGCCGTGCTCTACTGCGCTACTATCTATTCTGTTGTAGATAGTGAGTAGCCTAGCAGCGTACTTCGTCTTGTTAACAAACTGAGGGCTACCTCTTTGCGTTTTCGAAGTGTCTGTGAAGAGGATTTAGATAGAGTTTTAAACTACTACTAGATTTCTACTAAACAGTTGAGTTATTCGTTCTCGATTTCTATGCGCAATAGCTGACACGGGCTGCGCCATCGTCAACTATCACGCGATAGAAATCTCGAGTTCATAATCTAATTGTTAAATAGATCACATGCCCTATTGATAGACGAGGCGTTTTCTCACCCTACACTCCCCTCCCTAGTGGTGGCAACAAACGAAAGCTGAGCACTGCCATATCACTGGTAGGGGATCCCCCAGTGGTGTTTCTGGATGAGCCCACTACTGGTATGGACCCAGTAGCAAGAAGATTACTATGGGATGCGCTATCACGTGTTCGAGCTGATGGAAGGTGTATCGTTATAACGTCCCATAGGTGAGTGTCTCTTGTTGTAACATTTGAGCTTTCAGTGAGGGTTAAAATCTCCCTTTTATTCTTTTATTTTTCCATGTGTTTTACTGCATGTGTTGTCCCTTCCTTCCTAATTTCTTTTAGAGTTGCGAAAATGAAAGAGGAAATTGCAACTCCACTAAAAACTTCGCTTCCTTGGGATGGAAAAATCGGTCTTGAAACAAATATTTTTTACCTAAAAGGCTGCGTATTGTAGCCTGTGTACATCCGCCGCCTCCCCTGAAAAAAGTCGAATTTTTAAAGGGGAAATTTACCCAGGCTAGCCTTATAAGAACGAGGAAAATGACGCTTCGTAATCGGGTCGACTGTCCGCATAGGTTAAACGGTCTGTACTCATGTTATAGGCTACGAATTCTTGACTGAAATCTGAGAATGAGAGGAAATTACTAAGGGGAGGGTGCCAGAAACTGTCCTGCCAGAGAGAAAGCTAATGCTTTTTCTGTTAGACCGATTTAGAGAAATTTAAACCTTTCATTTTTGCTCTACCAAAGTTGTAAATCTTGAACCTGCAAGCCATGAAAAATTCCCTATGTGATGACGTCTCTTAAGTTTTTTTCCGCCGTCCGTCCACGATCAGGAGTTTGTTTCTCCCTACAGTATCAATATATTTCAAGCAGACAGGTGAGGAAAATAGGCATTTTAAACCATGAGAAACGGAATTATCATTATTTGGACTAAACAAATGCATAGAATTGGTAATGAGAATCAATATTTCGAAGTCGTAACACTCTCAACCAGGAATGGGGCCTTGATTAAACACCAGATTATCTAACTTAGTGTTAAACAAGATTTGAAAATAGGTGATGAGAATTAATATTTCGATCTTGTAACTGTGAACGTTCTTCTTTTGGTTTGCAGTATGGAAGAGTGCGAGGCTCTTTGCACCCGACTCGCTATCATGGTAAACGGACGACTGAAATGCTTAGGAAGTCCGCAACATCTTAAAACCAAATTTGGTGAAGGCTACACTTTGCTCGCGAGAGTGTCCAGTGATACACCCGATATCACACCTCTGAAAGAATTTATCGAAGGTTCATTCCCTGGTAGCGTGTTAAAAGATGAACATCAGGGCATGGTCCACTATCACATCTGCGACACCAGGGTAACGTGGGCTCAGCTGTTTGGAACAATCGAGCGAGTTAAGTTGAATTTCAACATTGAGGATTATTCTGTTAGTCAGACCACGTTGGAGCAAGTGTTTCTGAACTTCGCACGAGGACAGAGAGCAGAAGACGAATGATTGTGTACAACATGAACAGTAGTTAGATAGCAAAATAAATTGTTAAGATTTGAATTGTTCCGATTTAAAAGATTCAGTTACACTATCAGATTTTAATTTTTTTTTTTTATATTTGTAACAAGTTGAGAAATTTCTTTTAAGTTAAGCGCTGCCGGGCAGCGATGGAAATAGTTCTATAAATAAAGTATTATTATTATTTTTGCACACATTAAAAGACGGTTTGCGATCGTGGGTAAAATGGACACGAGTTTCAGTTTTATCCTATCCCTACATGAGATGTAGATGAATTTTTGCACTTCTTTTAATACAGTAATTACATAGAGTCCAAAAATATTTTGCCAGTGTCAGCCATAAATACAGCATCAAACACACTGAGGACCTTGTATTTTTCATGTACAGAAAGGACTAAGGAGAAATTTGAAAACGTAGCTTTATTTCTATGGTTAGGCCCCAGTCCACACTTGGCGTAGGGTGGAGGGGGCCTAAGAGAGTCCTGCGCTAAAGTTCTCTCTCTCAAAACGGACACCACTGTAAAACACACACGTCCGTTTACATAAGATAGAAGTAATACCAGTCACGCAAGCCGAGGAATCAGTTGGAATAAGTTCGTAGATTAAATTTCTGTATAGATTTGTTGGTCTCTCCACTAGATGATATTCCATTTATTAACATAAAAGTTCAGTATGCTGTTGACTTACTGAAAACACTGTAAATGTTTATTGGTTAAAGTATTTTTTTTAACATATATCGATATTATCACAGTTATGTATTTGGAAATACAATGTTCTTATTTGCTGTCGTGTTTCTTGTTGTTCTTGCTGTTTTTTGTCTTTTTTTTAATTACAAAAATAGTGTGCTCTGGTTCGGTACATTTAATACGTATTTCTCACACATGATTTGAAGTGTCGCCAGTTATGCCATAAGAATAAGACTTTTGGTTGTTATTATAAAAGCTTTACTGAAACATATAGAATAAATCGAGCACTTGTTCACGTTTGCTTCAGAGACAGCTGCTGGCTACGTAAATAGGCAAGGCAAAAGAAGGGTTAATAGCTGTTCAAAGTACCCAGTTTCTCCAGTTGTGCACTTTTCTCAATTCCTGTTGCAGCCAACATTGTTAATTTATGCACCAGGTATTGGGTCATTTTTCCACCAGCACTTGACAAACCACTCACAGTGAGTCACTCAAAAGGTACATGTGGAATTTCGTAAAATTTTGCCGTTTTCCGGCGAGTCGTGTTGTTGCAAGAGCCATTTTTCGTGATGTGGTTTTATACCGGAATTTTCCAGAAACAGAAACAATTACCCGGTGATATTTTCATTGAGTAATTAATTTCAAAAGCAATATGTTTTCTAGCGTGCGTAGCTTTCTAAAGAGGTAAAGCATCATAAAACACATCCACTTAAGCCGTCGCCATATTGGAATTCCACTAAGGATCAGTACCTTTTAACAAACAACAACAAAAGGCTAGGTAATCGCTAATTTGCCTAAAAATTATAGCTAATATGCAGAAAAAGGTTACTTTATTCGATTTCAGCATTTGTACGTGGCATAAAATAAAATTCAAGGCAATAAAGCTTGAGGTAAATGACTTAAGTAAAAACCTACCTCTTGACGTTGAAAACGCGGGTTGAGAACCTCAAACGTGACGTCTGGCTCTGGTCACATAACCCCTAGCCGTTCGCCGTTTGCGGTAAACGTGGATCTTAAGGGAGCTCGATCAGTCACGGTTCGTGCATATTGAAAAGTTTAGCCTCAATTTTTCAAAGTCGCCGTTTGTAATCTGTGTCAATCTTCTCCATCCTTAGCCATCCTTGTTCCTTTATGGTTTATCATTATGTCTTTGGTGTTTTTGTATCTTATTAAACTGTTATTTTCAGGTTTTCTTCCATTTAAAGATAATTCTGTATGTGGCCAAAATAACTCAAAATACCGTGACTGAGCTCCTTTAAAGTCTCTAACACGTCATCGGGCACTACAGTGTTATTGTAAGACGGTGTAAAAATCTCTCTGATTGCAGCAAGGACGAGGCTGAGAAAGCAATTCAACACTTGTATACGCTATCCTCACATAGCATCTTGGAAATCGTTTCTCGCTGAGAAACAAAAACGTTTTTCGCTTGCAGTTTAAGTGCAGAGAAAAAAAATGTTTTGCAAGATTTTGGCCTTACCCCGTGTTAAGCCACTCGTGACCGAAAACGCGCGAGCTCTGGGGACGAGTTCCAGTGGGTGGGTTGAACGACGGGAAATCATATACATTTTTTTTTTTTTTTTTTAAATATAACTTCCGATGTCGTTTTCTTTGTTGACGAAACTGAAGTAAAGGAATAACGCCTCTCTGTAGCTGTTCCGTGGCTTATTCAGGTAAGTTTTGGACTTGGACATTAAAATTACCGTTTCGCCTCTCCAATCCTTCTGTTCCAACAAATCCTCTGCATCAGCGTATAAAAATGCAGACAGTGCAGAGTTAAAGGTAAGTTAAATTTTGCCCACCAAGAGCGCCGTGACGTGGCCGCCATGATAGGTGAAACTGGGTGCATGCTCGACACTCTAGCTTGTTTAGACCAAGACACTACTTGTATAAATTTAGACACATCAAACTTGGGCGTCTCATAAAGCTTTTTCTGCCTGTAAAAACCTGGCTGTTTTGCCCAGAGACTTCATTAGCCGTGAGGGACTTAGGGCGTAAACAACATAATTAACAAGTTCGGGTTGATTCGCTTTCGAGTGCTCGCATCCTGTCGAGCTAGCTTTAGCAGGCGACCAGTGTAAAATGCAGACTGCATACAAATCCCAAAGGGTTTCTAAACATTTCAAAAACTAACTTTAACTCTATAAACTAACTTTAACCCTAACACTAAACTTCGTTCAAGCTAGAAAGTCTAGAAACACCGAGTCATGCATCACCAGCCAACACTCTGTCTGTTTGCATATTACACAGAGTCAAACTCTCCTGATCTGATCGAGAGTTAGTCGCGATTAGATGTCTTGCATCCTGCTCTCCCAATTTATATCAAATTCATTCGATTTTCGATAAAAATTTGAAAAATAGCTAATCAGTTTAGTATTTCTTGCCGTATGTGAAACGGCATTACACTTTCGTTTTGAATAATATTAATCACTCCATTAAGCATCGCGTATTATGCAGACTCACCAGTGTAACAGTCGTCCTCAACTAAGTAGCTCCAAAACGGCGGAGAATCTGGCTCTGAAAGAGTTTCAGATTGGAAGTAATTCAAGAAATGTTAGGAAAGCACATGCAAACTGATTTTTAAATGTCTCTATACGTAATTGACCGGATTGTATTAATATTAGTATTAGGATAGCTTTTTAGCAGTGTCCCCTAATTAGTATGGTGTATTATTTCCAGGCTATAAGGTTTTTGACACTTTAATAAAGTTCTCACTTCACAAGTTCTCACTCACCGGATTCGAGAAAGCGTTGGAAATAGAGCGTAGTTGGTTTGCCAATTTTATAAAAATAATGACCATTTTTCAACGATATTTCCAACCGTTTCCTTCCAACAAACGCTTAACACTAGTCTGAAAGAAAATAGCTTGCAAACGCACACGGAATTCGGCCTATTGATATGCAGACAGAATTCGGCGAAGCGAAACAATAGGCTTAACTTTGTCCGCGTTCGCAGAAAGTAGGAGAAGAATATTTCCTTGATATTAGTTTCCCGGAAAGCCTCTTATCGAGGGATGCCAGCATCACAGTTGACGCCCTACTTTCTTAAATTAATTCATACATCAAGGCTCAGTCATTGGTTGGTTTGTATTGTGTTTCGTGGTTTCGTTCAATGTTACGTAAAAAGTAGAACAACGGCTCTAATTACTAACACATTCCTTAGGACTCCCACTAAGAATGAATGGCAAGAACAACATACCCGCTAAATTCATTTAAAGAGGAGATTTCGCTCATCGTGCGTACTTGCTAAGCAAGTAATGAATGAAGCAAGAAAGGAGGGTGGGAGGGATGGAAGAAGGAGGAAGAAGGAAGGAGGATGGAGGATGGAGGTAGGAGGGAGGAGGGAGGAAGAAGGGAGGAAGGAGGAAGGAAGGAGGAAGGAAGAAGGAGGAAGGAGGAAGGAAGGAAAGAAGGAAAACAGCTCTGCAAGTGTGTTATAGTGCAGCGGAGCCCCATACTCATACACGAAAGAAAAGGAAATTCTTAGGGTTATCATGGCTAGCGGTATTGCTCGCGGGCGTGACCGCACAACGGCAACGACGACGACGAAGTTGCGAGAGATGACGGCCATAGTTTAACAGAGACATGTAGCCTTGCTTTAGAGCGTCCTTCTTTGATATTGGACATCCATGTTATGTTATGGTTATGTTGCTAACTGACAGCTATCAAAACAAGGTATCCGCTGACCAGTATCACGTGACCATGTCGCGGGCAGAAAACCTCCCCGCAAAGTTACAAAACTCAAATCAAAATTCTCGCTTATCCTGGGTTAGCTAGATCGGGCTTTCAACAGCGCGGCCCGGGGGCTCCACGTTTAGGATTGGCTAAATCTGTATATTATATCTTGATGCAGTTCTTACCCAGCCATACTCTGCAATTAGCAACCGCAACGTGAAATGCCAAATTTCGCGTATTTTGTATAACGTGGACCACGACAGCTATTTTTTCGTACTTGTATTCGGATTTAACCCTTGCATGTTAAGCTATATTAAGCTGGAGCTAGGTACAATAATATCTGCGGAATTCTAAGGTAAATATATTGTTTTATTATATGGCGGTGTCTCACAAGGACTGGGAACTACCGAATTCACGAATTTGATTGGCTGAAACCGATATTGACCGCGGTCTAGATTTTCCCATCTAGACCGGCATCTAGACCGGTTTCATTTTGCGTTAAAAAAGTAGCAAAACAAAATACAAAAATGTTTACCATTTTCTTTTATTTAATCCTCAATCATTTATTGAAGTGCCAAAAAGCCTGAGGACAAAAAAAAAAAAGTAAAGAGGACGAGCAAATTTCGGCAGGTTTAAGTTAAGCTCATCGCCGTTCGCAAGCGAAATCTCAGCAAACCAGTTACGGATTAAAGTTTTCTTCTTTGCCATATAATAAACATCTTATTAACCGAGCTAAGCCGATCTGTATGGGAGAATCTTGACCTCGGTCGTGTGTACAGACCTCACTGCGTTCGGTCTGTACTCACGACCTCGGTCAAGATTCTCCCATACAGACCTCCAGCTCGGTTAATAAGAGCTAAGTCTTGGATACGTCGACCTACTAGGCCAATGCACGGCCAGCTCTGATAAGCTACGTCTAGTTAGAATATAACGCTTATGTCATTATTCAAACGGATTAAATAACAGATTATAGTGTCGTAAAACAGGTAACGCTAACAGATTTACTAGCTAATAAGGAAGAACTTAAGTAATAACTTTATTTAAGTGTCAGTGTTTTCACAGGACTCTAAGACATGTCTGTCTACAACCTAACGTACAACAGTCACGGCCAGAAGTATCAAGTGCCGAGGGTTCGCGTGCCTTCGCTGAACAAGCTTCGAAGAGCTGATCACATCGCTTTCCATCGGCATGGTGGTGCCTACTGGCATCATGCCATAGTCGAAGACATTAATCATGAAGAGGGCGAAATCCATGCCATTGAGTATAGCAATACTCCTAGAGGATTTAGCACCGACAACTGCATCCCACCGAAGGAGTTTGAGTTTGCAAAGGTGGTCAGGCAGAGGTACAAATTCCGAGATGAAGATGTGTACCTTTTGAAGCACGATAATTGTTTGGATCCAGATAAGGTTATTTCGAGAGCTCAGGGAGAGCTAGGTAAAGGAAAATATGACCCTTTAACCAATAACTGTGAGCATTTTGCCATGTGGTGCAAAACAGGAACTTCATCCTCAGACCAAGTTAACAAGGCTAAAGAGGTGTTAAAAAAAATCAATAATGGGAACAATAGGAGCAGTTCTAGCAAATCAAGCTGTGACAGAAGGAGGCCAAGAGGTCGTGAAAACAACTGTTCACACGGCATCAAGGGAAGTCTTTACCCAAACAGTCTTAAATGCGGGACAAGAAGTCGTGAAGACAACTGTTCGCGCAGCATCAAAAGAAGTATTAACCAAGACTGTATCCAAAGCGGGACAGGAGGTTGTGAAGACGGGGATTCGCGTGGCATCAAAGGAAGCTGTGGTCCAAACTGTATCCAAAGCGGGACAGGAGGTTGTGAAGACGGGGATTCGCGTGGCGTCAAAGGAAGCCGTGGCACAAACTGTATCCAAGGCGGGACAGGAGGTTGTGAAGACGGGGATTCGCATGGCATCAAAGGAAGCCGTGGCCCAAAGTGTATCCAGTGCAGGACAGGAGGTTGTGAAGACGGGGATTCACCAGGCCACAAAGGAAGTCTTGACTCAGACTGGTTAAAACTCTGGCCAAATGATCATAAAAAGTGTGGCTCGTAAGACAACACAAGAGGTCTTAATCCGAACTGGATCAGAAGTAGGACAAGAGGTCGTGAAAACTGGAGTTCGCGAGGTATCTGAGGAAGTTGTGACTCAAACTGTATCACAACCTGCAGCTAGATTAGGAAGTTCTATGGCTGCAGGAGCACTGTGTGCAGTAGCTTTTGAGGGTATACAAATCAGTCGTGACATCTTCTCTGCACACGCGGACATGAAAAAAGGAAAAATTGGCATAGACGAGTTTAAAACAGCCGCTGAGAAGAGAGTAATCACAGGCGCCGGTAATGTAGGAGGCTCAACCGTCGGAACGGCCATCGGACAAGTCCTTATTCCTATTCCGATCGTGGGAGGTTTAGTAGGAGCTTGTGTTGGTGGATTCGCAGGAAAATTTATTGGAAACATAATGGCAAATTCTTTGTTTTGAAACGGGCCGACCGCGAACTTTAATACAAGCAAGAAACGCTGTCGCAATTTCCGTTCAAAGCCAATTAACTAGACGCGTACTAAAACCAGGAACACCGAATGAGCCCGAAATACTCTAAAAAGTATAACTATATACAAACTTGACTAGAGTTTAAACTGACAACAAATGAGTAAGTGTTAACTCTTTACTATAGATCACGGATTGCTTAGCTCACCCGTGAAATAATCGTCATTTGAGGGAGTTACTTCAGTTAATTCTAGCGAGTTAGCTCTAGAGAGTTAATTTTCAAATATACAGCGAATTTTCGTCATGAATTACACGTTTTTCAGCAGATAGTGGCTTGGAAAAACTTTTAAAAAGGTGTTCCTGCTCGTAACAAGTAGTTTTTAACGAGTCTCTGTTGCTCATCTCTACGGATTTAGGGTTTTTTCTTCCTTTAACGGGGAAAAATAGTGGCGTTCTGTGCATGCACAAGCAAGTCATCCTGCATCGACTTTCTTTTCTCCTGCCTGGGTTCAACCCCTATAAATAGGTTCGCACCCTTATTCAGAAACAAATTTCCAGGAGTTTTCCAGGGCTCAGATTGATTTTTCCAGGACTACAAAATTCACATTACCCTTATCACTCCCAAGATCTCAATGTTAATTCTCCTTACCGTCTGCCAGTAAATTTCATTTTATTACTCGAGTTAACTAGGAACCTTTTTCCAGGACTCTTCTAGTCCTGGAAAATGCCACAATAAAATTCCAGGACTTTCCAGGTTTTCCAGGACCAGTACAAATATATGGAGCGGGGAAGGGAGAGTTCATGGATTAGACTTGCAGTACTTGTAATACGATGCTGCCACGAACATTCTGTGAATGCGTTTGTCGCCCCGGTATGAAATCGTTTTTTTTCGTTTGGCTTCTAATTCAAGTTGGTAAGCAGAAGTATTAGAATTCTAAAGTATACTAATACAAAATTTGCAATCTGATTGGCTGAGCTATCGTTGAAGAGTTAAAAATATTACTGGATAAGTACACTTCCAAAAGAAGTTCAGTTTGCGCGCTATTACGTGATCCCCGAGGTGATATTGCGTCGGTTTTCGGCCTCATTTATAGATAAGTAGCCTGTAAGCTGTGTTCAATTTGAAATCCGCGAAACTGAAAATCATTCTTAAGTTTAGGCTTAAAAATACACTTAATTGTTGGTATTGTGCTGTTATCCTTTTGTGTGTGTACGAGCACTCGATAGCTGTAATTAGTTCTAGTTTAGATATTGCACTACCTAGAGTTTGAAAAACGAAACATGTTTAGGCCTGAAAGGTGGAGTTCGGTTGAAGGACGAAAAAGCCACTGACAGTTTAGACTACATTTCGTTCAGTTCTACGGCAAAAATTAATAAGTGAAAATAACAAACGGTCCGGTTCAGGGTCCTTTAGCCTCCTCTACAGGCGGATAATTCACGGATGGCGGAATACGAGCGCTCCGTGCTCCTGTGTCACGCTCCGTGCTCAATCCCTCTCAGCCTTCTGTTCTACAAGATATCGCCCATAGGCTTCTCTCCTTGGATGCAGCGCGGTGCATGCAAAGTTGTCAATCCTGGGTTTCCTTATTCCCGCAATTTACCGACGAAATGCAAGAGCACCAGGGAAGGAGGCAGAGTTTAGCCTGCAGCTGACTCCAAGTTTGGAATGAAACATCTTCCCTTCCGTAGTCATCTTTACTTAACTTCCTTTCTGCCCGCTCCCCGTACTATGACACCCTGGGATGGGCTAACAACTGATAGCGTTACGCGAAGAAACGAAAATACTTTCACTGTTATTACATTTGACGAATGTTATTACGTGGTTTGAAGTTGTAGTTAAAGTTCTAAACTTGTCGTATATCTTATAAGACGTGGAATAAAGTGGTACAATAACAAAGAACTTTCAGGAAGTTAAGCAAATGTATAAAACTGGAGAAAAGGTCAATCGAAAAGGCGGCAAAAATTGTTGACACGCGCAGGAAAATTACTGTACGTCAAATAACGATTGGCCTTGGTTTCGCATCTGATTGGCCGAAAAAACGCCATCTTTGGGCTGATTGGCTAGAACAAATTGCACGCGTTTCGTGAACTAAGAACTCAGTAATAGGCAACACAAAACGGACACACAATTTAACGTTTCAGTTCATTTACAAAAGTCCTTGCATTTCTTTCATAAAAAGCGCGTAAGCATCGTCTTTCGTGCCAGTTTCAACAACCCTCGGTTGTGAAACTTGTTGCGGTATACTTTCAACAGCTTCTGGGTCAGCTCCGGGTGGCCGAAGCTTTGGTTTGTTCTTAGGCTGGTCTCGTTTGACTCGCAAGGCGGTAGGTACGAGTTTTGTTAACTCTGCTTGTGTGTTCCGTAACTGTGGCTTTGCACTAATGGTGGCAGTTGCTTCTTTACTAATTGTAGCTCCTGTGAAGTTTACGAAAAGGTGAAATTAGTTAACGAGATCAGATAACCCACAAGTTAAAAATAAAACCAACATACATGTACGAGGAAGAACAATAAAAATAATTTTAAAATGTCCATTCACCTTTTCCACTATCAGCAGTTGGATTAGCCATTGGAGGTTTACTAATGAAGGTTGGGGGTGCTGACAAAACTGCGCCGTGTGGGGGAGGGGGAATCATACCGGGGGGAGGGCCAGGGGGTCGTGCCATGCCAGGTCTCAATGGTGGTAATGGTATTGGTTGTTGCAGTAGAGGTCTGGGTCCTCTTGCCATAGCGTGTGCCATCATATTGGGCGGTAACCCTGGGGGTGGGCCAGGAGGGACCATGCCAGGCATTCCTGGGGGAGGGCCTGGTGGCCTACCAGGGGGAGGACCAGGTGGGAACATTCTTGGGGGTGGGGCTCTGATCTGAAAGTTGGGTTGAATCGGTAGTCCTCCGGCTTGTTGACTTCCAGGTAGAGGCAGCTGTCCAGGGGGTGGACCTGGGGGTGGTCCTGGGGGTTGAGGTTGTCCTGTTTGTACTGAGCTTCTCTTTGCTTGATCTCCTTGCTCGTCTCCTTCTCGCTGTGTTGAGAACAAAACAGATTATTATAGTAAGACTGAAATTAAGGAATTGCATCGCAGATGGAGTACCTTGTTGGAAAACTTGTAGCACTGAACACGTAAACGCCAAACAACGAACAGCCATGTTTCACACTGGATTAATTTTCATTGTAAATGAAGACGTTGACAAAAAGACATTTCTACAAAATGTATACTAAAGTACAAATATTTAATCGAATCTTCAGTTTTAAACACATCATTTCCTAAGTTTTGCGTGCGCATTCATTTTGCGATGATTTCCGTAAGAACGGGGATTTTTCAGGGTGTTATTAGGTACTTGACTTCTCTAGAATGTAGATGTAAATAAAGGTCATAACCATGGTTTCATGGAGTCTCAGCTGAGCTTCTCATGCATGATGACCACTTGATACAATAAATTGACAGTCTAGTAATCTAAAACGTAATCAATGTGTACCTGTTTATCAGGGAGAGGCTGCCCCGCCATTTTAAGAAGAAAATCTTGAATTGAAGTTGTACCACTGCCTTTTGAGGAGTGGCCTTCACCTCCACTTTGCTCAACTTCATCTGCAAACCTTACAGTTCTTTGACGTTCTCTCGTTTCTGTAACCAACAAAGAAATTTCTTTTAAGTAACAATTATACCTTGTTCACACTAGTAGTAGACCAGATGTCTAGTCCAATTGCATATGTCACAATACAAAGCTTTCAGATCAGGCAGTACAAATCATGTCAACAACTTTCTTATTAACTTTCTCACGATAACAACTCTCGTTCTATTTTCCAGTTGATAATTCTTTCTTTTCTTTGCAGACAACAGTTTCTCACTTAGATAGTCGACACAAAGCTGTACTAGGGCACTCCCTAGTACGAAACTAACCAAAAGTAATGAGTTTTAATGTTTCTTCAAATTTTCCTTCATCATTATCCTTACACCCATTTAGACCCTTCATGTGTACACTCATTTGAGCAGAGACATACTGAAGTGCAACCATGACTGTAAATATCTTGACACAAACAGACCTCCTTCACTATCCTCCATCTCTTCATCTTTGTCGCCCCTCTCTCCAAGTGGCTGACCATCATCTGCATCTCCTTCTAGCCTCCCCAGCGGCACTGCTGGGTCGTATTCCTCCTCCTCACCACCTGATTCACTGGTGCTCCCTTCACTGTCATCACCATCATCATACTGTTTGCCTTCCAAATCATCAGGTGCTGTTCCTGGGGGTAGGGGTGGTGGAACACTCACCGGTGGCATACCTGGTGGGGGTCCGGGTGGGGGACCAGGTGGGACCATACCAGAAGGAAGTTTCGGTGGAGGCCCAGGGGGAGGGCCTGGGGGTATTAAACCTGGGGGGAGGGGCCTAGGAAATGAGACAAATCAATGATATAAAGTTGAATGAGAGGTTCCTTTTGAAGTCTTCACCTCAATATTCTTTTGTATGAAAATCAGAGCTGAGTTGTTTAGAAATCCATCAATTCCAATTTAGGATCAATCCGTAGAGGATCAACCTTTTAACTTATCTTAAATAGCACAAGGTTTGTACTGCTCATTTTTTGTGGAGTTCAAGATCAGTCAAATACGCAGGACAAAGACCTCGCTGCAAAATTTGAAAACTGTAATGAAAATTCAGGCTGATTGTGGATGAGCCTAATCAGGCTTTCAACAACCAGGCCAAGTGTTCTGGGGAAATGACAAGGCCTTGGCATCTTTATTGTTTATTGACTTGCTTTTTTTTGCCATAATTTACTTAGAATGGCTTTTATTCATAGCATTTTATTCAATATAGTTGCAGTTTATCATTTTTTGCACAATTTCCAGTAGACATGTGTACATGTGCTGTTGGTCACTTTGACTTGTGTCTAGATTGAGCACTCTAAGCCACTTTGCGCACCAAACAAACGCAGTAAAAATTCAGACCAACTACTTACACTTGACCAGGTAATGGTCCAGGGAGGGGAATATCACTTGGCATTAACATGCCTAAAGGATAAAAACAAGCAATAATGCAGAACAATTGTTAGCAAGAACTGAATTAATATTAATACTTGGGATGGTAATAAAGACACATCAATGTGCCTCTCTAGGTCAACCTGAAAAACTACGACAAAAAGAAAACAAACAAAAAAATAGATAGCATATCATTCCATTGTCAGTACATGGTGCTGGTTTTCAGAATTAACTGCAGCCTGTTAGCCTGTCAGAAACACGATACAGTTACTGTAGTGACTACAATTTGCATAATAATTTCTTCCATAAAATCCTTAAAGCAGCTTCTCCAGAGAGTGAAATCCACAATCTAAACTTGTGGCTGAAGCTTCTTTTAGAACTCTATGGAAACAATGACTTTTAACTAGACAAATATTAGAAAATAGCAAAAAGAAAATCTATGTGCTAGTTTATGGCCAAAAATCTTGTTTAGAAACAAGATAGAAACAAAGAAAAGTTCTCACAGTCACTATGATTGTTATTTTCTTTGGCTGTTTTCTAAAACAGATTGAAAACATTTTCTCCTGTACATGTTTCTTCTGAGTTTTGGTCTAGCCACTTGACTTTAGAGTGTCTACTAAAACACTAGACTACTCGCCCTTGTTTTCTATGAGCAGTAGTCCTCAATGACTATTTACTGCTAGTATAAATCTACTAGTGTTCTATCACGAATGCTGTTCTCTGTTTGGCTAGGCTATTTAATATCCATTGTACTATCGAAGTGTCTGTGAAGAGGATTTAGATAAAGTTTTGAATGGGTAGTAGATTTATACTAAAACAATAACAGATTATTCACTCTCGATTTCTATTGTGCGAAAGAAATCAAAAGTGAATAATCTAATTGTTTATTAGTAGAATTCTACTACTATAATACTAATACAAATGCTACAATCTGATTGGCTGAGCTACTCGTATACTATCAGCTATTAGAGTGCAGTGGCTGGAGGTCGTCTACGAAATGGGGACATTTTATTTTTTTAACAAAGTTTTGAAGGAACATTTTGATGCAAATGGATAAATAAATTCCTGAGAAGACTAAAAGAAAAACATTAAAATAGTTTCTTGCCTTAAAAAATCTTGAAATTATTAAAAAAATGATGTGCGTGCACACAACTTCAATTTCAATGACAAATCAATTTGAGTGATCTTTCTAAGACACAAAGTTCAACTATCACCTCATAGAAATCTCGAGCTCATAATCTAATTTTTAAATAGAAAACTGAGACGAGTAGAATAATTGTTCACTAGAAAGACTTGATAACTCAAAAGAAACACAGAAAGCATTTATATTCCTTAATTACATGTAATTGACAGTAATATCATACCTGCATGTGGCAGTGGGATATTGGGTGGCAACGGAATGTCTGGGGGCATCATTGCTTCCTGAAAATACAATCATACCACAAAAATTCACATAAATTTGGCTGAAAATTAAATTGTTGAAGCTATTTAGTAGAACAGTGTATAATTTACATGTCTATAACACTCATTGTGTGGAGAGAGGCACACCATATAAACCGAGGCACACGAAAGGTTCTAACAAAATGTAAACATTCTCCACAGAGACATGTTGCCAGAATGTGTTTTATCATCAAAAATCCTGGTTAGATGTCTGTTTCAGCACTAACAATGGGAATCCAAATGCAAATGCCAAAGACGACAGCCAAGAAAGACATAATGAGGAACGGTAAACAAGCAGAGAGATCATCTCAAAATTAATTAAAGACGTGGAGGGAGGCAGAAGTGGCGGCAAAAGACGAATTGATGGTCCCATTCTCCATGAGGAGAAAAGGCAAACAATGAGACGTCTGATACTAAAATCTGCTAACAAGACTGTATGAAGTTACTAAATATATTTGCAAAGTTACAGTAGTATTGTCTGTGATCTCGGGCAAGAAACTTTACCCTAAAAGAGCTCCTCTTCTCCCAGTCGTATAACATAATTATTAAGTATCAATGAATATGAATTCTTATTGTTGGTGAACATGATGGGAGTAACCTTCACTTGACTAGCATCCCATCCAGAGAACCATTCTACTGGACTGGAACAGACTGGAGCCCATTTCCATTTAAAATGGCAGTAAAATAATCTAAAATGGGCTAGTAGGATTTTTATCCCAAGAGCTACACTGTACATATACTCACCTCTGCTATAGCTTTCTGCCTTAATTCTGCAAGATAAAAAGCAGACAAAAATGTAGATCGGGACATGAAATATAACAGTTATCCTCATTTGAGCCTTAAAAGGCCTGCTTCCTTCCCTGGGTGCCCTTTTCAAGCATGAAATTACTTGAATGTGTACTTTAGTTAAGACTGAGTACAAAGACCGAATTATAAAAAGTTCTGAATATATTAAGTAAAATATGATAACCTTTGCAGGATTCCAGGTATGCTTTAAGGGCAAGGTGTCCTTAAGAAATTTCCAAAGGTTAACAGATATAAATGGACAAAGAAAGTCACATCCAGTAGGTGAAACAGTCCTCCATGTTACCTTATATCATGGAAGACTGATCCCTAGTCTGATGACTCACTGTGAAAACAACTTCATTAACAGTTGATAAATGATTGTAATGAGCTCACATTTACATGTATAATATTATTATCATGTTAAAATTCTATTACTCTACCATGGGCAGATAACTGGGCTTGCAAACGCTTTCGCTCACTGTCGGCGATCAATCTGAAATACAAGTTTCAAAAAGATTACTTTCTACTAATTTGCAGCAGAACTACATTTTAAAACATCATTTCTGCGTGCACAAGTAACAACTTTTGGGTAATGCTGGATCAATAGGTATCAATAGAACTAAACCCAAATGAACACAGGTAGCCATACCTCCACAGCCAGTGAAATTTGTCACAAAATATTCAACACGTTAAGTTCTATGCAGCTGAAATTTTAGCAAATCTTCAGCTATCATATCACCAGTGTATATATATACATGTAGGTGGTTAAATGTACATGTGAGTTTTAATGCAAACTTTTTTCACAAAGTAATGTTTGTGAAAACAAAATTGACTGTGCTGTTGTGGCTCAAAAAACACAAGGAGCTCTGAAAGAAATATACTATCAGCTGTACAATGTACATGTTTATATGGTTCTTTACACAAGTAAAAATGAATAATTCTATAGGAATAGGAAAGAAAAAAAGCAAGGTAAAATTAGGTTTTGATTGCCATATATTAGCAATTAAAGAGTTATTTTATTACTTACTGCCTCACTTGTCCTGACTGAGAGGGATCATCTTTCTCCTGCAATAAAAGAATATGGCATCAAATTAACATTACGTTCATTTAGATAACAATGCACAGGTTCATGCTTGGATGGGTTCATTCTTAGATATCAATGTATGTAGTTCAATGTAGTTAATGCCTGGACATCAATGTATATGTTGCAGGTCAAAATGAAATTCACGTTAATATAAAATTCCTTCATCTCTTAACCCTAATAAATTAATGAATCATGAATAACTAGGGTTAGATGACAAAGGAAACTGAGAATCAAACTAGGTTAAAATCATTTTAACCTAAATTTCATTTTGACCTACAACACACACACTATAAACATACATTTTGGTGTTCTAGGTCAAGTTACTTATTCAACCCTCGCAGCACTTCTTGACCCTGGCACATACATGCAAGTGTCAAGGACCTCAACACTAAATGTAATCTACAGGAGTGCATATCCCACCCAGGTTAAGCCATTTCATATTACTTATACAAAACAACTCCTGGTAATACAATTATATAACATACAGTAGTCGGCATGCTGAATATCATGCTTAAGGTTTTCACTCAAGTTTTCAAANTTATATGGTTCTTTACACAAGTAAAAATGAATAATTCTATAGGAATAAGAAAGAAAAAAAGCAAGGTAAAATTAGGTTTTGATTGCCATATATTAGCAATTAAAGAGTTATTTTATTACTCACTGCCTCACTTGTCCTGACTGAGAGGGATCATCTTTCTCCTGCAATAAAAGAATATGGAATCAAATTAACATTATGTTCATTTAGATAATAATGCACAGGTTCATGCTTGGATGGGTTCATTCTTAGATATCAATGTATGTAGTTCAATGTAGTTAATGCCTGGACATCAATGTATATGTTGCAGGTCAAAATGAAATTCAGGTTAATATAAAATTCCTTCATCTCTTAACCCTAATAAATTAATGAATCATGAATAACTAGGGTTAGATGACAGAGGAAACTGAGAATCAAACTAGGTTGAAATCATTTTAACCTAAATTTCATTTTGACCTACAACATATACACTGTAAACATACATTTTGGTGTTCTAGGTCTAATTACTTATACAACCCTCGCAGCACTTCTTGACCCTGGCACATACATTCAAGTGTCAAGGACCTCAGCACTAAATGTAATCTATATATCCCACCCAGGTTAAGCCATTTCATATTACTTATACAAAACAACTCCTGGTAATACAATTGTATAACATACAGTAGTCGGCATGCTGAATATCACGCTTAAGGTTTTCACTCAAGTTTTCAAAATACAGATTTCTGCTACAGGACTCACATAGAGTCTGAGCATCCTGTCCAATGTCTCCTTCAGCTTCCTTTTCTTTTCTTTGAGTGCCTTGTCATTAGGAAGAGGGATTGGTCCGGCATCAATTTCTGACAAGGGAGAATGTAATCAAACAAGTTAAACCTTGGCTTTGCCAAATATATATGTCTTACCAATAATTGACAAAATTTACAAACTTTAGAAGAGTATGGCATGTTAATCAACAATTTAACCGTCCAATGAAGTAAAAGCAGTTCAAGAAGCAGTTCAAGAGGTACATGTACTTAAATTACCCAGTGTTTCAATTTTTTCAATTTCTTCTAAAATTCTTTGAGGGTCCTTGGATTTTAAGACAGCTTCTCGGACCATCTTTCTTTGCTTCTTATTCTGCGGTAAAAGAAATCACTCATTTCAATAACAAGCTTATTACAGTCTTTCGAAGTGAATCAACAACTTCTGATATATATTTTTTCTAATATTACTGTCACATGTTTCACAAAACAGATCAAATGCCCATGGTGGGTACAGTAGGTATGTCTTCTTTGAAACTCACTAATAAATTCAACACTCTGTAAATACACATCTAAGTAAATTCCCGCATCATGCACACAACAGTACAGACAAACATACACATCCACAATACAGACCTTCTTCAACTCCCTTTTCCTTGCTTCCTTTCCTGTGAAAATATAAAAAAAAACATTATGCTCAATAAGTAAAAGCATTTCGAACCATTGCAGCTCGTACATGTAAAACCTGCTATTTTTCTGCTGATAGAAAGCATCTGATTAGCACGAATTCCACTTCTTACTTGCTTGATCAGTTGGGTTCATGAACTTCCCACTCTTTGTTGTTGAAATGGATCGCCTCCCCATTTTGGACAGTTTAAATTGTGACAAGTCAAGCAAAGTGCAAAGTGGTCCTGAAACTAAAACAACATGGCGTCCTTCAATGGCCGAGCGACCGCGTCTTTTTGAATTAGTGGCCATGGCCTTCTAAACTATTTACTCAGGGGTAGGCGGTAGGGTCTCCACTGTGGAACCTGGTTTCACTTTCTTGAAATTTCTATCCATAGTTTTTGGTTTTAAAATAACATATGTAGATTTAGCTATTAAAAATATTAAGTTTACTAGGTTTTGAATACAATTGCGCAAGATGTTAGTGACTAGAACAGGGTTTAAAGGTTTTACTCTACCCTAGTAAGTCAAAAAGTCTGTGCGTCTTTCTTACAAAGGCAATGGCGAGGTACATTGTTGTAGAGTTTTGAAAGTAAGCTTATTGCCTTTTTTTTTTTGAGGAATTCAAGTTAAATTGAATTTGTCAAATGGATTTCCAGTGAATTCGGCTGATGTTGTGTTGAAGTGATCAGACGTTTCATCTGGGACTTCCTTGCATTGGAAAGAAAATTTTACGTTTCAGTTGTCAAAAGCCAAAAGGTTAATGGACTCTTTGGTCGGTTTGCTTCCAGGCATGTGAAACAATCGAAAAACCACTGTTGCGTGCGTTGTTTAGAAAAGACGGAGATTAAAAATAGTTCACAGAAAACTTTGGATGATATGGCACGGAACAATGATACGTAATCTTCAAACAACATGAATTATTTAGAGGGAAGAGTTTCAAGCAGTTTGGAGCGGCAGCGAAGTCGGACCACCTTCTCTCATGTGGCAACAACTGAAGAGAAAAGTGGTTATTTGTGGAAGACGTTTCATCATCCGAGGAGGACGTCCTCCAAAACCAGATACTTTGTGTTGACCAAAAGTTCATTGGATCACTTCAGAAACCATCACAGGGTAATAATAATAGAATCCTGCTAATAGTTAATATTGTAAAGTTTGTAATAGTGAAGTGGACCGAAGTGACCCTAAATTCGCTGCCATGTGAAAAAGTGCAGGGATGCCGACCTAAAAGTCTTGAAATCCTGGAATCACCAGAATTACCTAATCTCAACCCCAAAAAACGTTGTTAAAAGGAGAGTTCTTCCCAAAATTTCCTCCCAAAATGCCCTAAAATTAGCCAAAATAACTGAGAAAAATGTACTTCAAGCACTTTGCTGAGTGCTTGGGAGATTTGCTGACCTGCATAGAGACTGGAAGTTTTGGTCAGAATGCGGAATACTCCAAGAAAATATGAGGAACAAAATCCTCTTCCTACATGTAAAAGAAAAATGAGAGAACTGGAAACAACATTTACTGTTTGTGGTCATTTGATTCATTCTATGTGTAGGGCACTATTAAGCTCCATGTTTACAAAATGACGTGCAAAGAAAAGATACTGTACATGGTTTCAAGCACTCAAAATTAAATGACATTCTGTGTAATGGTCTCCATAATAGTCCCTTGTTAGCCAGGTATTTAGTAACTGTGGCGCTTTTTGTTGCCACATAACCGCAAAAGTGCCTGCTACCCATTTAGAGAGTGATCAGTAGCCAAAATCCAGCGGGCCATCACCTCTTTCTCAGCCAGCTAATTAAGCCAGCAGCTGGCACTTTACAACAACCCAACCATGCATGTACATGTATGGTGGGGTAAAGTCTGTGTCAGGCCTGTGCTTATCTCTGGTTTTGATAGCTTAAAGTCAGAAGGAATATCTCTGGATGGGATGCTAGTGGGGTACCTGTAGCATAAAACTTATGCCCCTTGGTAGAGAGGGGCACTACAAAGTGAAGTTTCTTGTCCTAGAACACAATACAATGACCCTGTTCAAAGCTCAAACCTGGGCCACTCAATCTGGAAGTCCATCATACCAACCATTAGATCACCTCACCTACTCTTGCCATCCAGGGATAGTGCAGTAGCTTAGCATTCCAGGAATGGGATTAACATTCATGTGCCTAAGAAACAGATGAGCCATCTAGCTTGTCTGATCCTTAGAACAGATTAGATACTGGAAACAGACTTTGCCTAATTATATTTAAATTATGACAAAGATTAACAAATAATCTTTTTATCATAACATTTATGTCTGATCAGGAAAAGCTCAAAGGAAGTCTTCCACTTGCTGCCATAGACTCTGTAGAGAAACTGCCTGAAGATAAGAACTC